CGGTTAGTACCGTGTGTAGCATCAACGTTTACAACGTCCGGGAAACGTCTAAAGAGTGCTATCTGCTGCGTTCGAGAAAAGCACAGGTGACTACATCTGCCGCCCTCCTATTTCACCGGCAGCACGCGACCGCACTCTCGAAATTTGGCTATGATGGATGACATGTCACCTAAGAAACCGACTAAAAGGTAACTAATGACCCACTTAACAATGGGGGTCGACATTTGACGCGATGGTTACGCACATCCTTGATAGTGAGCACCTTTCCAAAGTGGTTGGCGACGTACTGCCGAATCTCCGATGACGAAGCACCATATTTCAAAAGGGTACAATGCTCGTTTAATTCATCATGTGTCAGTCGCGGGTTGATGGGGAGCCTGTCAAAAATAAACTTGCTGCGTGGATGGTTGTGCTCCAGGTAATAATAATAATATTTATTCCCAACTAGTGGTTAGCATACCGTCGGGCATGATCATAGTATTACAGTCAGAATAAACGCATGACTGGAGGGGTTTGCGATTAATACGAAAAGGGAGAGTGACGTAAACAGTAAACATCAGTGAAGTAGAGTCCATCACACCTGAAGTGGCATGGGTAGGAATCCAAAATCACCAGGCCTCTTTATGTCCCATGGAGAACATATCAGATGACACGAGATCTGAACGTTAGGGTTTAAAAGTGGCGGGCAAAGAAAGCGATACAAGTGAGGGCATAACAAAGAGATTCTCACTGGAACGTGACAAAAACAGAAAGCTTCAAACTACAGGAAGCGTAGGACCGGAATAATAGATATGGAGAGGCAGCAGAGCTGCCAGGACATGGCAGGCCGGTTTGAACTAAAGCCCGGAACCGTCACTAGGGCTTCATGGCCATGTGCCATGGCGGATGGCCACGGAAAGCTATGTGGGGTTGGTGTAGTGGGGTAAAATGTAGTACGGACGAATGGTAGCTGGAAACGCAGAATTACAGTGTACAGTGAAGCTTATGCGACTCACTAGTGTGGCAGATGAAGCAGGGTCGAGTGTAAAAGTTGCTTGGGAAACGAGTTCACGCAGACAGAGCAATAATTGACTGAGTTGGTAAGGAGTGCGAATAAAAGCCGCCGCGATCTTTACATCTGGCAGAAGGTTCGGCAGATTGCAATGAGCGCCTTCCGGTGGTGACCGGGGACAAATGATGGTTGATTGTGGTTGTCGGTATGGGAACCAGTGAGCGAGAGGGCCCGGACAAAGTAAGAGGGGAACAATTGCGGGTATGCTATCAAACCGGGTATTCCAGCGCCGTACCATCACTGCACTGAAGTACTTCGGTTTCTGGACAGCCCCGTGATGGACGTCGTGAATTAGGTTGTTAGGCTGAGATGTGCAGTCTTGTTGTTGTTGTTTTCCCTTTTATTTTCAGGTCGGGATCCCTTCCTTCGTGATGCACGAATCGGGTGGAGTTGACAACAGCCAAACAGATAGTCCATAGCGCGCATTACCACGGGTCGAAGCTTGGGGAGAAGATGAAATGAGATGAGATCAATAAGGTCTGGAGAGTTATAGGGGTTATCAGACAGGATATAGTCCTTTAATAGGGAAAAAATGAACGTCTACCACAGTTATGGAAGGACATCAGGTGATTAAACAAGACGGGATAAGGATGAATCTGTACTGAGTAGTGTAGTCACCAGAGTCAATATACTACCTGAGACAGGACAGTTCACTTCATGCGCGCTAGGAGGCGGTGTGGTGAGGGTAAACCAAACTGGTAACGACTGGGGGGTGTAAATTCCTGGAGGTTGTTAGTGAGATGGACGATACTAGGACGATCTAGGAAGTAAGGTGGATGCGAGGGAGAAGGTCATCGGTCCCCGAAGCACTACCATCAGCTTTACTCAGTGAGTGGTGCGTGACGAAGAAGACTTCCGATGCTATCATCGGATGCTGACAGTGGAGAGTCGGGAGTCTAACTGTGTGCTTATGTGTGTTGTATGTGTCACTCCTGGGAGCGGCAAATTTGGTTTGTCTTTTTGTTTGGTTGACGAGGTAGGTTTTGGTGCGGTGTAGCCTCGATATTGACGAAGGCAGCTACAGCTATGCACTTCGACGTAGGCTATGGGCATCGCAGAGTTTCTTCCGGCTATCCCAGGTATATTGATTTCTTATTGAATACTTTTGGACAGGTGAAAGACCAGTTTTTGTTATTGTTTATGGCGTTGCGAAATAGCAGCATATCATACACTGCCATAATTGATGTTTGTATATATATCTACAATCTGGGCAGGCTTTAGCCATCGACGAATACTTTGGACAAAAACTGTCCCCTATCCGGTTGTCTGTGAATGTTGTTAAAACTATTTGTATTTTTCACAACGGGGCAGTGGTTCTAACCAAGAAGTTGTTGAAATCGCCCACAGTGTCTTGGCACTATTGAGTTTATTATGATGAGTAGTGTTAAGTGAAATGGAATTAAATGAGCATTTGTCTAGTGCTTATTTAAGCGTACCTGACCCTGTGGGCAGAGTGGCGAATAGAAGGGGAATGTCGGGGCCCAAACATGTGATGGAGTTTGAGGTGGGTATGGGGGCCCAAACATGTGATGGAGTTTGAGGGTGGGTATGGAAGGGGTACGGTTTTCGGGGGAATGGCATGCAGTTGAATGGAGAGTTTTGAACCACGCATTCTCTAGCTCAGTTGGGGGAGCAGGTGTTGCCGGAGTAGGGAGAGTGGAGTTGTACTGGAAAACTTAATGGATGTTTGGATAGGATAGCGAACCAAAACGTTTGCCACATGGGATTTGCAGTTAGAGCGCATTCGGTAAATGCACCTTGGGAAGCGAGGGTCACTGCCCATACTATAAGATAAAGAAATTAGGAGTGGCATTGTTGTATGGTGTGTGATGGTTGGCTGCAGCTTAGCTCATATTTTTCCAGGGGCGATGATGTAAAGTAAGCTTTGCGGTCCCCAGTTAGATCACCGTCATCATCATTAGACGGATCAGATCAAAGTGGAAGACAGTTACTTACATATTTGGATAGTTAGGGCATGATTATGAGAGTGAAAATGGATGGAAAACCACAGCATCAACGTCGAATACTCGAGGCTCAAACTCATGTGGCAGATAAGAAAAAGATCCGCAATTTAGCCTGAAACATCGCACGGCTTTCAGGGTGTTGAACGTGTGAGAATTGGAAGATTTTTTAGCTAAAGTTGAGTTTTAAGATCACAGAAGACCCGGCTTACAAACGCAAGACCCGGANGTAGAGTCCATCACACCTGAAGTGGCATGAGTAGGAATCCAAAATAACCAGGTCTCTTTATGTCCTATGGAGAACATATCAGATGACACGAGATCTGAACTTTAGGGTTTAAAAGTGGCGGGCAAAGAAAGCTATACAAGTGAGGGCATAACAAAGAGCTTTCTGACTGGAACGTGATAAAAACAAAAAGCTTCAATCTACAGGAAGTGTAGGACCGAAATAATAGATGTGGAGAGGCAGCAGAGTTGTCAGGACATGGCAGGCCGGTTTGAACTAAAGCCCGGAACCGTCACTAGGGCTTAATGGCCTTGGGCCAGGGTGGATGGCCACGGAAAGCGGTGTGGGGTTGGTGTAGTGGGGTAAAATGTAGTACGGACGAATGGTAGCAGGAAACCCAGAATTACAGTATACAGTGAAGCTTATGCGACTCACTAGTGTTGCAGATGAAGCAGGGTCGAGTGTAAAAGTTACTTGGGAAACGAGTTCACGCAGACGGAGCAATAATTGACTGGGTTTATAAGGAGTGCGAATAAAAGCCGCCGAAATCTTTACATCTGGCAGAAGGTTCGGCAGATTGCAATGAACGCCTTCCGGTGGTGGCCGGGGACAATTGATGGTTGATTGTGGTGGTCGGTATGGGAACCAGTGAGCGAGAGGGCCCGGACAAAGTAAGAGGGGAACAATTGCGGGTATGCTATCAAACCGGGTATTCCAGCGCCGTACCATCACTGCACTGAAGTACTTCGGTTTCTGGACAGCCACGTGATGGACGTCGTGATTTAGGTTGCTAGGCTGAGATGTGCAGCCTTGTTGTTGTTGTTTTCCCTTTTATTTTCAGGTCGGGATCCATTCCTTCGTGATGTACAAATCGGGTGGGTTGACAACGGCCAAACAGATAGTCCATAGCGCGCATCACCACGGGTCGAAGCTTGAGGAGAGGATGAAATGAGATGAGATCAATAAGGTCTGGAGAGTTATAGGGGATATCAGACAGGATATAGTCCTTTAATAGGGAAAAAAATGAACGTCTACCACAGTTATGGAAGGACATCAGGTGATTAAACAAGACGGGATAAGGATGAATCTGTACTGAGTAGTGTAGTCACCAGAGTCAATATACTACCTGAGACAGGACAGTTCACTTCATGCGCGCTAGGAGGCGGTGTGGTGAGGGTAAACCAAACTGGTAACGACTGGGGGGTGTAAATTCCTGGAGGTTGTTAGTGAGATGGACGATACTAGGACGATCTAGGAAGTAAGGTGGATGCGAGGGAGAAGGTCATCGGTCCCCGAAGCACTACCATCAGCTTTACTCAGTGAGTGGTGCGTGACGAAGAAGACTTCCGATGCTATCATCGGATGCTGACAGTGGAGAGTCGGGAGTCTAACTGTGTGCTTATGTGTGTTGTATGTGTCACTCCTGGGAGCGGCAAATTTGGTTTGTCTTTTTGTTTGGTTGACGAGGTAGGTTTTGGTGCGGTGTAGCCTCGATATTGACGAAGGCAGCTACAGCTATGCACTTCGACGTAGGCTATGGGCATCGCAGAGTTTCTTCCGGCTATCCCAGGTATATTGATTTCTTATTGAATACTTTTGGACAGGTGAAAGACCAGTTTTTGTTATTGTTTATGGCGTTGCGAAATAGCAGCATTTCATACACTGCCGTAATTGATGTTTGTATATATATCTACAATCTGGGCAGGCTTTAGCCATCGACGAATACTTTGGACGAAAACTGTCCCCTATCCGGTTCTGTGAATGTTGTTAAAACTATTTATATTTTTTACAACGGGGCAGTGGTGCTAACCAAGAAGTTGTTGAAACCGCCCACAGTGTCTTGGCACTATTGAGTTTATTATGATGAGTAGTGTTAAGTGAAATGGAATTAAATGAGCATTTGTCTAGTGTCTATTTAAGCGTACCTGACCCTGTGGGCAGAGTGGCGAATAGAAGGGGAATGTCGGGGCCCAAACATGTGATGGAGTTTGAGGGTGGGTATGGAAGGGGTACGGTTTTCGGGGGAATGGCATGCAGTTGAATGGAGAGTTTTGAACCACGCATTCTCTAGCTCAGTTGGGGGGAGCAGGTGTTGCCGGAGTAGGGAGAGTGGAGTTGTACTGGAAAACTTAATGGATGTTACGAATGGATAGCGAACCAAAACGTTTGCCACATGGGATTTGCAGTTAGAGCGCATTCGGTGGATGCACCTTGGGAAGCGAGGGTCCGTCAACTTCCTATAAGATAAAGAAATTAGGAGTGGCGTTGTTGTATGGTGTGTGGTGGTTGGCTGCAGCTTAGCTCATATTTGTTCCAGGGGCGATGATGTAAAGTAAGCTTTGCGGTCCCCAGTTAGATCACCGTCATCATCATTAGACGGATCAGATCAAAGTGGAAGACAGTTACTTACATATTTGGATAGTTAGGGCATGATTATGAGAGTGAAAATGGATGGAAAACCACAGCATCAACGTCGAATACTTGAGGCTTAAACTCAGGTGGCAGATAAGAAAAAGACCCGCAATTTAGCCTGAAACATCGCACGGTTTTCAGGGTGTTGAACGTGTGAGATCACAGAAGACCCGGCTTACAAACGCAAGACCCGGATGTGAAAAGAGGCGTCCAGGAAATGTGTCCCTCGTTGACGTTAACGATATTGCGGTTGAGCACAGGATACTCACAAGCTATGGCGTCGATGACACGGCAGTTTTTTCTCAAGCTACACCGTATAGGTAAAGGCAAGCGAAAGTGAAGTTAAGATACCAATTCACAAAATATACAGGCCTCGACTATAGATACCCATCCTCGACAAATGGTTCAATTTAGCTGTAAAATTGCTGGCCAAATAAGCTAATATGCTTCTTTTAGGATGGTCAAGCGTCTATGTGGAGGGCCACAAAATGGCTGAATGACAGGGTGAAACGCACACACTG